ATTTTTATCTGCAAATGTAATCTCAATTTCATTCAAAGATAACTGTTATACATTAGCGATCCCTTGGTCATAAATGTTATACCAGCTTGCAATATTATACATTATCTATGTTATCTCTTAAACTTGCCGCACATATTTTATCTATCTTTTATATTATAGCTTTCATTGTGAGGTTTAATCGGACCAGAAACAAACGTTTCTTTTGTTATGTATAAGAATCTTTGCGATTGTTTTTACAAAATATTCCATGGATGTTTAAGATATTTGTGGAATATTTCTGATATCGATCCACTTTGACATGATAAGACATTTTTTATTAATTGCAAATCAGGTTTTCATTTATAGCATATTGTCAAAAAACTGATAAGTAGAAGCAAATCAAATGTAGACAAAAATTAACAAAAATATCAAACTGTCTCTATTCTCTGATTTTGTTGTTGTTTGCTAACGATTATTCTACATTTTTTGAAAACCGATTTATTTATACATTCTGTATGTAACCACATGTATGTCTGTATTTATGCATGTAGTATGTTCTGATATATGATGCCTGTCTGCCATGCGTTAAAACTATGTTATATATCCATGACCTATCGCTTTACACAATTTATGTAAGTCTGAGTGAAAATATATCTTGGAAAATAAGGCTCTAAAAATTCAACATTTGCAATGGTTTCAAAATCCTCCAAAAAGACAGTAGGTTGTATTTAAAACCTTCCTTTCTTTAAAAAGAAAAGAAAAAAGAATTGAGTTTTGTACCTTGGTCATGTGTCCACTCTACATGGACATGCGTTCTTTTGCTTAAGGCTCCCAATCACGCTGTTGACAAAACACTAGAGAATTCCACTCCGGTTATTTCCATTATGTAACCTCCCCTTAATTTCGCTTTATAATAAAAACCTTCAGCGCAGTAATGCCATGACACTTTCAATAGCAAGGTAGCTTACATGTAGTTAGATTCAGGTATAATGACAATATAGCAATTTCAGCTCAAAGGTTAGAGTTATGGTGTTCCGCTGACAGTTGTACATTCAGAAAATTAATAAATTACACTAATAAAATCCAGCAATAAGATTTCACTTTTCAGATATGATATATCAAAGTTTTACTAACGCCGGAAAAATACTGGAAAGCTACCAAATTCGTGATTATATCCATATTGCACTAATGATATAAATGATATGACTCTCTGTTCTGTCACACATGATACAATATTTAATAACTAATCTTGTTTAATGTAATAATATACCTAGTTATGTGTGATCCCTGTACAATGAATAAAGCACCTCTCTCAGATTCATTCGTACTCATTACCCAATTATGTCTCGATATTGATTCGTTTGACATATAATCTCCGAGAATTTGTACTTCTGTTCACTCGGTGCTAGCTTTTATTTACACTATAGCGCAGAATGACTGCGGAATACGGAATACGGAAATGAGATTACAAACATACAAAAAAAAGCATGTGAATTACGTAATGTTACAGCAGCTTAAATTAATGTTTTTAATTATGACTTTTGTAGTTAGATTATTGAATTATAATATACGGGCCAATATCTGAAAAAGTGATTACATGTATAGCTTAAAGCTGACAGTGCAAGTTAAAAAGCTTTTAATTGCGATTAAAAAAAATCTGGTTTTGAGATCTTCCCCATCTCTTCCGATTATCGTTTCTCAGGAAGTGCCGCCATTTTTGTTTGTCCTTGCTAAGTAAGTAGTATGGGTCTCGCTGGCCAAGCTGATTGTTACGTATAGCAGTTTTATTATAATTTCACGGTGTATACATATGACTGATATAGTACTAACGATATTTATATTGTGGTTTAGTTAAATCCTAATTGTTGGCCTCTTTGATTGGTTTGGATTGGATTGTTTTTATAATTGGTCAGTTTTGTAAGTTATCCCATTGTCACCTATCCGGTAAGCCAATGGTCAACGTTTTCTTTGTTTTCTTTGTGTGACCGGTGGTTTTTGCGCTATATGTATCAGAGACTACATGACGTATTGACAAGCAGACAACACAGAACACTGGTAAGATATTTACTAACTTTCACACATTAATAGTTCAAATTCTAAATCATCTGCTTCCAGATTGCTCCTAAGGTCCTGTCGCTAATGCATGGTGACCTTATAACATTGAAATGGTTGAAATCAGTGTTATATAATGAAAAACACCTACTGGCAATCCATAGACAACTACCACAGTTTTCTCCAGGTCTGTTACCAACCAGGAATACAATCATGCTAGCCCCTTTAAGGGGTCATACATGGCCGAGATTTACAACAAAGTAAATAGTGAACTATAGTTTCAAAGTTGTTTCAAAAAAACAAATGCATGTCCAACGTATGTTTCAAAGTAAACATTGACATTTTTTACTAGCCTTGGGCTTGACAATTTAGGCAAACATGTTAGGTTTTCATGAACTGAAAAAAGTACATTGTTTGATTATTTTATTAGTCCCCGAAGTGTTCTCGAAGGAATATAGGTTTTCACTTCGTCCATTCATCCGTCCGTCCGAGAACTTTGTCAGGGACATAACTTCTATACTATTGCACCTGGAGTAACCAGATTTGGTGTACATGTACAAAGACATTTTGGGATGGAGGAGTGCAGAGTGCAATATTTAGGTCACTGTGACCTTTGACCTTTACTTTTGGAAATATTTTTACGGGACATATTTTCTATGCTATTTCACCTGGAATAACAAGATTTGGTGAACAAGGACATCTTGGTCGTATTTCATTATTATTTCCATTTTTCCTTAGAAACAAATGATCGACCTTAGAAACAATAGTAGGAAGAGATTAAAAGATCTCAAAACAAGAAAAAAATCTTCTTTTTTTGATCTCAATTGAAAGTGTTTTAACTTGCACTGCCAGCTTTAAGGAAACATTACAGCAATTTTCATTTATTATTACAAACGAACAATCATTTTGGGTCACTTACGATATTACTTTTCGTTTTGAGTTTCGTTCTCTTTGTTCATTTGCATGACTTAGACATATAAATGAACTTTAGATAATATGTCATTTCGTAGCATTTAGTTTGGTTGCAAAAGTGATTGACATGGTAACGGTCTGGTGAACTGTTTTTATGAAGACATCAGCATTTATGTATCCTTAATTACTGCTTTAATCTCGCTATGCATCATTCTAATAGCTAATGTATAAGTTTAATATATTTGAATTGCATATGAATTCCAATTTTTGATTGGGGTATCTAAATATGACGTATCAGGGTGTTGGAATTTATTTTAGTGACTATATGTATATCATCTTTTAGCGGACTTGTTTAACCTTTACTTATGTTGTGTATTCTTCGTTCAGTTTTAACTTTGTATATCCACAATCAACGACAAAATTGTGCATATTTGTTCTTTTTATTTCAGCTGAAATGCTCTCCCGCAGGTTCGGGAAAAGAATCGACTAACTGTATTCCACAATAAGTCGTAAAAGGCGACCTATGTGGGGGCTCCGTGAAGAATCGAAGGTTTTCTTGTGTGTCTTCTGCTAAGTGTACACAGAAATATCAACAATTGATCTGCTACTCCAATTGGAATATTTGGGATCTACATATTTTCACATAACTTCCCGAAAACGTTTTGCTGCCTGGTGTATTTCTTAGAAATACCCACTTAGTGGTAACGTTCGCCTAAGTGGGGTAGGCAATAGGTTCTGTCCCCAGGCCGGGCAATACCAAAGTCCTTATATATTGTGGTTATCATTACCTGTATAACGTTCAGCATTGAGGGAAAAGACATAAACTGGTTCACCCATTGTCAGTATAATGTGACCGGGCAGAATGCTGTGCCTTGTGCCTTTGGCATGGTATTTCAGTGAGATAGAACTATTCAGTCGAGTTTGCGCTAATCCAAGGAGGAGGCAATGACACAACATGCAGCCCCCAAAACACATACACACATGCATACATACAATACACACCTGGAGGTATGTCCTTATGTGACCTTAGCTGTTGATAGGATGTTAAACGCTTTAAAACCAAAACCAAAGCAAATCCTGCTAAAATAATGTTTAAATGTACATTGCCCTATTTAACGCCTAAGAGGATAATTTTCTTCCGTTTATGAATATATGTTTTTTGCACATTCCATTTTATTCCACATTAAGTTTGTCAATTTGTCAGGAGTCGCTTCCCTTCGTTCATTATATAGTTGGTACATTATATGTGTAATATCCTGGGATGACCCCGCTGGGGCCTTTAACAGTAAAGCTCAGTTTTGCTGATGGTCAAAATACTTACATTTAATGAGAAAGATTAGAAATATTTCCTTTGGAAATTTACAATGTTACTCATAGCTTATTTAAAATCATTTATGCAAACACCATGAAACTCACTTGATATATCAGCAAAGATGAATCGGTCAAACAGCATTCTTTAGTAATATACTGACACGACTTAAAACACCATATGATGTTTCGTCAGAAGCTTTATATATAAAATTGCATCAATAATTTATGCATAAAAATATATCAATAAATTCAGGCGCGACATTTCCGTCCCTGATATATTTCACCGATTCCCTGTAGCGTGCAATGCTGTTGCCACAACATACATACCAACAGCTACAGATTAGAAAATGTAATTAAATCGATACCAACACGGTATTAGTAGGTTTTTAAAAAATATAAGATCTATTTTAGTTTATTCATTCTATGGCTACATGTCACCATGTCGAGATGGTGACATGCTTCCAATAGCCGTCTAAATGCTTAAATGTTATAACCACAATGTCAAATGTTGCCAACCAAAAAAATAAAATATAGATTTGGTAATTTGAATGAATAATATTGGTTGCAGAGTATGTAGAATTTGCAGTGACCAAGAACAATCAGGAGCATGCTCTTTGTATTTGTAATAATCTAGCTACATATGTAATCGTGAACAATGACACTGTACTGATCGCCCGAGGGCACGGTTGAATGGCGCGCAGAGTTTCATCTAGATCAATAGTACGGTCGGTACCTTATCACACAAAGTGCCAGATGTAGATGTCAGCAAAACAGAACATGTTAACGGAAATGGATGTCTGATACAATCTGAGATTATCCGAGTCATCAAGACAGTAGAGTCCAAAGATGGGGGAAAGTGTGCTAGTCCCGGGTAAATATATTTATATTACTAAAAGCTTTCATTCATGTTTTGATTTTCCGTAAATGTTGTAAGATACAAATTGCATTGTAGTAGATTTTTGTGATTTTTGATCAATACATGCACGATCTTTGATGTAACTTGATGAACCGTTTTTCATGGCTGACGTACGTCGTCCAGAGTTATGTCTCCTACCTAAGAAAGAGTACATGCATTTCATTGTATTGTTTGTATTACCTATATACTGTTTTTTGTTTTTGTAATTCTGCAATGGAGTGAGACATTTTTGCAAAATACCTTCTAAGAACAACCAAAATGAAATAACAGGTTTACTTTGTGACATCAGAAAAAATTAAAACAACGAAGTCGGGGTTATCTTTGGCCTATCTTAAGAGACTGGTTTGGTATTGGATCTCTGAAATCAAGGGGTTACACTCGCGATTCACGTACCTTCGCTACACCCTTTGAATGCGTCATAACAAAATTGAAGGATCTATGATTGCCCCCTTCAAATGCTGTACATCAATAGAATCACATGCCACCATAACAATGAAATTTACTGTTTTGAAATTGGGTGTCGCTCCTCTATAACCCTTAAAGGACAGGCATCGGTCTAATGATCAGTTGTATGTACCTAAAACCAATCAAACAGCTTACCGCATGTCTTTGATATTCTCGTGACATACTCCAAGGTTGTAGAGGATATGAACATCGAGAGACTCTTGGATTTCGTGGATGCTTAAAATGCAACAATTTTATCCAAATCTAAAGCGTATTGTATTAGGAGTTGATAACATGTTTCATTTCATTTGGAATTTCCTATACCGATGGAACCATCCTGGCGATATTAAGGTTATGCCATAGTTAAATTAATTCAATCAGGGGATCTAAACTATCCAATGGATTTTTAATCGATCTATTTTGCTTTACGTTGTAGGCATGACTGTTTTTCAAAGGTTACTTGAGCCATAAAACGTTTATAAGCAAATTCTATTAATGTTTCAAATGCCTGTTACAAAATGTACTAAGTTTTCAGGTATTTATATATATATATATAATCTGATCACAAGCATTCTGAGCACATGTTTATGGTAGCTTTTGTAACGTCTGTCTATATGTAGTAAACTATAGGGAGTGACAGAGTCAAAAGAAATATTTAACAGGTTATACCTGACATGAAGTTATTATTTTATTGTTAAAAACTGTAGTCATTTAAAAAGTTTGAATCAAGACATTGCCTAACGTATCTGTGCACTCGTCTTTTGGCATCAAAATAGCTTAAAACAAAATAGTCCCACAGTGACAACATACAACGTTTTGATTATTACCCGATTTCAATATTCAAAAATAGAACAATCATAAATCAGAAACACAATTTTCTCAAATGAATCCAGTTCAGATTCTCTAGAATGATGAAAGTCTCTTTTTGCAACCGTCATTAAGTCTCTTGAAATTCGGAAACATGTATCAGGCTGCAACGATATCTATATGTAAGGGACAGTAAGAAAGTTATAGTAAACACACGGATCGCATAAATGAAAATGAGCTTATGATAATAACCTTATAAAATATGCAAGTGTAGACACAATGAGAACGTTTGTAATCACTGTAACCACTTAAATTGCAGTGATGGAAAGGATATCCTGTCAAAAGCCTTATTTTTCCTTCTGTGTCGTTAACAAACCCTAGGTTAGATATTGATTATATACAGAAGGGTGCGACTATCCAGAAAACGGCAGTTCTAAGACCAGGCTTTGAATTAACTGAACATCCATCATATATAAAATACATACGAAAGGGAGAGTGTACAATTGCAACTGATAGGAGGAATATCAAAGTAAATACTCATGCCATCTACAGGCCGTAATTAAAACTGCAGCATTGCAACACTATAAAATACAGGATTATACAAAAATGTATTCACTCATAGAAGCATGAACAACATGTCAATATAAGGTGTAGTTCCTCTAAATCAATATCGTTTGAAAGAATGGTAGATTGGTTCAGTGTGTTTTAAAGAGAATACTTTTAGGAGCAAACTTTTGGTTGCTTTATTCATCATTCACAAACGTTTCCGAAACATCATAAATGACTCAATATGGTTTTTTTCGGAATCCATTAATGAATAACATGAAACAGACTATTTAAAAACATTTCACATGTTTGACAAGTTTCACTCTTCCTCCACTAAGTGGAGCATACAATCTAGTGTCTGCTGTTTTTGCGCAGAGTGACCTTTATTCTATTTCAAACTCACAAACCGATATGTTTGATAAATAATTTATATATCAGCAATATATGTATAGTGTTGAATACGGCTAGTTTACATGTCACTATTAATCATAACATGTCTGGTATTGTGTATCCGAACATTTAGTTGTTCGAATTTTAATCGATTTTATTTAGTTTGTGCAATATTTTGCAAATTGAAACAAAAATCATAATTCGTGATAGATTAGGGATATTTGGCGACCTTTTCAGGTTCAAATTCGAAACGATTGCTCAGGGGCATGTCAAATAGAAAAGCTTGTTTGAATGAGTTGTTATTCAAATTTTAAGGAAAAATTGAACGCAAAAAAATTGTCCCGATTGATTCAACAATTAAATAATTTTAACCTTGAAAGGAAACGCTTCCTTAGGATCTTTTTCCTTTTTTTCCTGTAAGGGGTGGCTGAATCATCAGTTTTCAAAAAATAAAAATAAAAAACAGTTTCTGACTGAAACTGCGTTGTTGAACCCTTTGCTAATACTATTCCGTAAAGCTACGAGTCTCCAGACAGCGTTCTCTTATACTCACTGGTCCTTTGATTAGTGACCTATAAAACGAACTTGCTATTGATTTTTATTGCACACATAACCACGTCCTTACTGTATGTGTACCGTGATAAATTCACTGAACCATGGTGCTGTGTCACTAGTGTATCCTTTTATAGAATGTCAAGGCCAGAGGCTGTGAATATTTCATAACATTTCCGTACATGTATCATAGCTACAAACCACACAGAAACAAACATCACATTTCAGTACATGTATCATAGCTACAAAACACACAGTAACAAACATCACATTTCAGTACAAGTATCATATCTACAAAACACACAGTAACAAACATCACATTTCAGTAAATATATCATAGCTACAAAACACACAGTAACAAACATCACATTTCATTACATGTATCATAGCTACAAAACACACAGTAACAAACATCACATTTCAGTACATGTATCATAGCTACAAAACACACAGTAACAAACATCACATTTCAGTACAAGTATCATAGCTACAAAACACACAGTAACAAACATCACATTTCAGTACATGTATCATAGCTACAAAACACACAGTAACAAACATCACATTTCAGTACATGTATCATAGCTACAAAACACACAGTAACAAACATCACATTTCAGTACATGTATCATAGCTACAAAACACACAGTAACAAACATCACATTTCAGTACATGTATCATAGCTACAAAACACACAGTAACAAACATCACATTTCAGTACATGTATCATAGCTACAAAACACACAGTAACAAACATCACATTTCAGTACATGTATCATAGCTACAAAACACACAGTAACAAACATCACATTTCAGTACATGTATCATAGCTACAAAACACACAGTAACAAACATCACATTTCAGTACATGTATCATAGCTACAAAACACACAGTAACAAACATCACATTTCAGTACATGTATCATAGCTACAAAACACACAGTAACAAACATCACATTTCAGTACATGTATCATAGCTACAAAACACACAGTAACAAACATCACATTTCAGTACATGTATCATAGCTACAAAACACACAGTAACAAACATCACATTTCAGTACATGTATCATAGCTACAAAACACACAGTAACAAACATCACATTTCAGTACATGTATCATAGCTACAAAACACACAGTAACAAACATCACATTTCAGTACATGTATCATAGCTACAAAACACACAGTAACAAACATCACATTTCAGTACATGTATCATAGCTACAAAACACACAGTAACAAACATCACATTTCAGTACATGTATCATAGCTACAAAACACACAGTAACAAACATCACATTTCAGTACATGTATCATAGCTACAAAACACACAGTAACAAACATCACATTTCAGTACATGTATCATAGCTACAAAACACACAGTAACAAACATCACATTTCAGTACATGTATCATAGCTACAAAACACACAGTAACAAACATCACATTTCAGTACATGTATCATAGCTACAAAACACACAGTAACAAACATCACATTTCAGTACATGTATCATAGCTACAAAACACACAGTAACAAACATCACATTTCAGTACATGTATCATAGCTACAAAACACACAGTAACAAACATCACATTTCAGTACATGTATCATAGCTACAAAACACACAGTAACAAACATCACATTTCAGTACATGTATCATAGCTACAAAACACACAGTAACAAACATCACATTTCAGTACATGTATCATAGCTACAAAACACACAGTAACAAACATCACATTTCAGTACATGTATCATAGCTACAAAACACACAGTAACAAACATCACATTTCAGTACATGTATCATAGCTACAAAACACACAGTAACAAACATCACATTTCAGTACATGTATCATAGCTACAAAACACACAGTAACAAACATCACATTTCAGTACATGTATCATAGCTACAAAACACACAGTAACAAACATCACATTTCAGTACATGTATCATAGCTACAAAACACACAGTAACAAACATCACATTTCAGTACATGTATCATAGCTACAAAACACACAGTAACAAACATCACATTTCAGTACATGTATCATAGCTACAAAACACACAGTAACAAACATCACATTTCAGTACATGTATCATAGCTACAAAACACACAGTAACAAACATCACATTTCAGTACATGTATCATAGCTACAAAACACACAGTAACAAACATCACATTTCAGTACATGTATCATAGCTACAAAACACACA